TTCTTTTCACATAGAATATTCTAAGCTTTGACATTTTTGCAGTTAATGTAGTTGAGTCCCCAAACCAATGGCAGAAGCAGTTTGCTTTTTCAAAGGTGAATTACCCACAAATACTGCCTTTTAGTAGTATATTGATGAAGCAGCTATAGAAGAGGTTAGGTCTAAGGGAGGTACTGATAGGGCCTCTTAAAGTCCTCCACAGATTTAAGATCTCTCGGTTGGAATGAATACGTGATTAGGAAGTGAATGTTAAAGAGGAGCCAGAAGATTTGAGGAAAGGCTCTTCTGGGGTAGAGGGATTGGGTATATTTGTAGGCTGCCGGGAGAGAAAATTTAACTCTGAGAGGGGAGATCCGTACTTGATGATCATTGATGGAATGTGATCACAGAGCAGGGAGAGTCAGGTGGATTGTGGACTGAGGACAGGCAGGCTTTTGAGTAGAGAAGGGATTATGAGTGCGGTGAAGGGAACCGGGCATTTGGGTTCCAGGAGAGCAAGTTTGGGAAACAAGACTGTTGTGCCCATCACACGGAAGAGGGATTACACTAGTTCTCTCTGGCACCAGGGGATAAAACTGGCACCCACGGGTAAGCGTTACAGGAAGACCAGGCCCCTCAGGACTGTGTGGGACCCAGGCAGGTGCAGAGAGTGCATGAACTCAGTCTGAAGAAATGGACTGATCAGGCTGCCCAGTTACGCACCTTCCCAGCTTGAGAAATCATGGAGCCCCAGTTTCCTCCTTGACCCGGTGTTCTCTGTGGCTCCCCCATCTAATATGACTCGTTTTGAAGAATCTTAGTGACTTTCCACAAAGACACAGAGTTAACCTTGTTACCCTCCTCTGACTTGGTTTGTACAATTTCTCTTAAGAATCATTTGCTTGGGACACCTGGGTGGCTCAGTCAGTTGAGCACCCAACTCTTGACTGCAGCTCAGGTTATGATCTGACGATATGTGGGTTCAAGCCCCGTGTTGGGCTCCGTGCTGTAGCATGGACCCTGCTTGGGAGTCTCCCTCTCCCTCCTTCTCTCTCTGCCCCTCACTCGCTTCTCTCTCTCAACATAAATAAATATATTTTTTAAAAAGTTGTTTGCTTTTTGCTGCCCCTGTTCACTCTTTCCTATTATTCCCCCTCTTTCTGTCCCTTTGCTACTTCCTCTGACTAGCATAGTGATAGAAACCGAGCAGCCTAATCAACATCATTAGAGATTAAAATTAGAAAAACTCCTGGTATTTTGCCCTTCTTTTGAATCCAAATCGTGAACCTCATCCTTACTTCTTCCCTGTTGTTGGTAGCGTTAGTGTGGACAGATTCTGTAGTCATCCCAGACCGCTCGCTCGCGGTAGGAACTCTGCTTTGAGTTAGCTCAACAATGGCAGCCCCAGATGCTATGAAGTAAAAATAACTGTGAAGACCTCTATTATCATTCAGGCTAAACTATATATGCGGGGGACTTGGATTGTGGCAAGAGTTCTGTTAACCTGAGAATGGCTTTCTCTGTCCAGTGCCTTTTCTTCTAGTGCGATGAGTACAAACTCTGTTCTTCTGGACACAGTACACAGCACCACGTGATTGTCAAGAGTAAATATTTAGTCTTTGTGGCTGGCGTCTCATGTCACAGGACAGGTATCCATGATTGACAATAAATACTAAATGACGGATCGTGTACAGGGATAATATAATGCCCACAACGAGGGGAAATACCCGTGCGAAGTTCAAATTTTGTATGTGAAAGTTGGCACCGTGCCGCTGTAAATTGCCATTTTCTTCACATTAGTCACGGTGCACAAGAAGGCTGTTTTTAAAGCAAAGAGTAATCTCTGGAATTTAGCATAAAGACTCTTGTTAGCTTCAGGCTTTTTGCATGATGTTGCTCCTTTGTGAGGAATCAACAACAACAACAAAAAACCTCCCATTGATTTTTACTTCCTCCACATCAGAGGAAGATTGAATGTTGCAGAGATTCCTTGTGCAAAACAAGAGGAAGAAATTTAGAAACTAATCAACATTTCTGCTTACTGTGTTTGTTCTAAGTTACATTATTTATGATTTTGGAATGCGTCTGTTAACTTCTTTTTGTTTTGTGTTAACTTCTCAGTGTCTCAGAGTAATATGTTCACATTATCAGGATAACAGCATCATTGAGTGCTTAATTTTGTTTGGTATCTGTGAATGTTATTCTGTTTATATTTTGTAATTTGGATAAGAATTACATACTAAAATTTTGAAATTTATAAATATGTATTTAATGGTTTTACTTATTGATAGAGTTTGGGGAAAAGATAGATGTTTATCCAGGTGCAGAAAATAAAGCATCTAATTGATTTTTGAAGTAGCAACACTGCAAAGAAACTTTTATGTTAAAATTCCCAAGAATGGAAACGTCTGAATTTTTAACTGAGTTCATAATTACATGTATACTTATAGATTTAATTCTAGTCTTAGAACAGTGACAGTTAATAAAATGCTTATTATCTATTGAACAATCAGTAGGAAAAACTGGATTATTTCCAAGTGTAGTCAAATTACCATGACTTGTAATCATAACACATGTTCTGAAGCTTTTGTGATTTTTCATTCTTCAAGTGATAAATATATTCATATCCCCCTCATGCTTAAACATGTTGATTTGGTACCAGGATAAAACTTGTGTAATGCCACTCTTTTGCCATTTAAAGTTATATTTCTATGTCTTTTTCATTTTTTTAGGATGTGTCTGTGTGCTTTAGACGGCATTGATAAGAGGGGTTAGGGAAAGAGAACAGAATAATATCCAAGGTAACTTGGCAAAGGGGCTTTATCTAATAATCCACTTGGTCAGGGTAGACAGAGTTCTGTCTTACAATGTATGAAGACAGGGCCACTTCCTATGGTATGGAGATTTTTGGATATAGTACCTAATTCCTTGGTCAGTTTTCCATGGCAGCTTATGATCTGAGATGGAATTTAAGCACAACTCCAAGAGCACAGCTTTTGGACTCAGATTGTGTTTGGACCGACTCCAGGTTTGCTGAGTAAATACGGCGAGTTGCCTGAGGCTCCCTTCACTCATCGACTATATATTGAAGCTCCCCATTTGTTGAGCATTACGCTGCTTAGTCCTCATTTAAACTTCATAATCCACCCACCTTTAAAAGAAGACTGGGAAATGGGTTTTCAAGATTAATAACCTGCCGTAGGTTGTACAGCAGGTAAGTGGCAGAAGAGGAATTGAACCCAGGTCTCTGATGCCAGATTTCAAGCTCTTACCTTCTGAGCCAGTGGTTCCCAGGTTTTCCATAATTACCTGGAAGAGTTGATGAGGCGTGCGTTGCTGGGCCTGAGAGTTTCTGATTCTCTGGGCCTCCACCAGGACCCATGAATTTGACATTTCTGACCGGTGCCCACGTGCTGATGCTGCTGGTCGTGAGGGCTATACTTTGAGAACCATGGTGGGACTCCATCCCTCTGAAGAACAGACGAGAGAGTTCTTGTGTCGTGCTGTTATCGATAATCTCTAACGTTTGGTGACTGTTTGCCATGTCCTAGACGCTATTCTCAGTTCGTTCCTTTTTCATCTCACCTGAATCTTAGGAGGCAGTTCAACTGCAGGGAGAGGTTAAGGGGTGCGTGATCACCGCTTGAAAAAGAAGGAACTGGGATAGGTGGAGGCTCCCGGTAAGGTGGCCTCATAGTGAATGAGTGGCACAGCTGGTCGCTCTCATTATGACTTCTGTCAAAAAACAGTGTCCCTGGAGCTAGGTCCAGGGCAGATTTCCTGCTGTGGGAACATTGAGAGAAAAGGAGGCGCTCTCTTCTTTTCATCCATTGGTGTTGTATGTCCTTGGAGGAGGCTACCGGAGGTGAGGCCTGGGAAGAAAGGGCCTCCCTCCTTTTCATATTGTTCTGCCAGAGTTCTGGAGGGTGTGGCTGACATAGTTCGTTATTCTGATGAATGATGCGATTCGGGAAATGAGCTAATTCCAGTTGAGCTCTGACATTGTTGATATTCACGAGCGTGGATAAGCGGGACTCCAGGCGGTTTTGTGTGTAGGAATTGTGTTGGTGGTGCCCAACCCATGATCAGGTTTGAAACCTGTACTCTGCTTAAGAGACTGCAGTTTCCTCATTCATTTTAAAGCTTGAAGAGAACGTGTAAGGCAGTTTCAAAAGGTGACATCACATCGATACATAAATACCTTGTGCATTTGCTTTCATTAAAACTTGTGTTGAGTGACGGTTATGTAGAAGATACTTACAAAAATAAACTTGTCCCTCCTATCAAGAACAACTCATAGCAGACCTCACAACCAAGGAAGTATTCAGTTAATGTACGTAAGAGCATCGAACTCTGAAGTTAGTGTAGCCTGGTGCGTATCTCGTCTGGAGTTACTGCTGTCATGATTCCCATGATGCCAGTGTTTGAATCCTGGGACAAAATCCTCTTTGTAATGAGATAGCCATTTAGCGGTACAGATAGAGCCTCGGGCCCACACAGGTGTCCTTCCTGTCAGCTTGGACTGCTCGCTGATTTAAAATGGCCTTATTGGAGGGCATTTGGGTGGCTCCGTCTATTCAGTGTCCAACTCTTCATTTCGGCTCAGGTCATGATCTCATGGTCGCCCTGGGCATGGAGCCTGCGTAAGGTTCGCTCTCTCCCTCCCCCTCTGCCCTCCCCTGCTCGCTTGCGGTACACGTATGCACGCGCTCTCTTTTTCTCAAAATAAAATAAAAGAACATGTCCTTATTTATTTATTGTATGGATTTATCCTCCAGTCTTAAGCTGTGAACTTTGAAAAGGATGTTATGACTTACTGCTACTTTTTTGGATGTTCATCTCTGTGTTTTACCCTTGTTTTTTTCCTTTAAGATTTCAGACACAGCAGTGGAAGTTCTAGACACGATCAAGAACAGGGAAACGCAGCCTAGACACGTCTTCACCTGTGGTGAGGGTCTGAATGTTGACAAACGTGGTTTGACGGAGAGAATCACCTGTGCATTTATTCTGGTTTGTTGTAGGTTAACGAAGCCCTTGTCGTTTGCCGATTGTGTTGGGGATGAACTTCCGTGGGGCTGGGAAGCAGGGTTTGACCCACAGATTGGTGTCTACTACATCGATCACGTCAACAGTAAGTTTTCCACTTTGGTAAAAGCAACCATAGCCGAAAAGTGATCCCCCCACAAATCTAGAATCATGCGAAAGCATCAGCATGCTTCAAAGTGAATTTCTTTATTGCAAACCCCACTTTGTCAGCGACTAATATTAATGTAAATGCCTGTTTTGGAATCTGGGACATGAATAGAATTGGGCTTATGGGGTCGGAGACAGAGAAGTGAATCTGTCTGTCCGTGCATGTGTCTCCCGGACAGGAGGTGAGTTTCGAGAGGCCTGCGGAGGCCCTGAGCTGTTGGCCTCCTCGGCCCATGACTGCCGCTCCTTGGGTTGTGTTTCTTCCTCTTCTTGTCCTCGCCGCAGACAGAGTTGGACACGCGTACAGCCCAGCACGAACATCATTTTAAGACACATACTTGGAGTATTTTTTATGTGTCCGTGTGTGTGTTTATGTTTGGCTCTCCGTCCACCCCTTTAAAAAATTTATTCAGATGAACACGTGATATACCCACTGATGCTCATTTTGCTTATTTGACTTAAAAACTAATCCTTTAAATTTTATGGATTTTGAGTAATACATAATGGTTTATACTCTGTTATCTTATTTCTCGTAGGTCTGTTACACTAAAGATTTATATAATATAGTACTCTTTTTAAAAATATCTTTAGGAATAATATCTTTAGGAATAACTTACATAGAAAAGTATCTGGAGTGCCTGGGTGGCTCAGTCATTAAGTGTCCAACTCTAGATTTCGGCTCAGGTCATGATCTCTCGGTTCCTGAGTTTGAGCCCTGCATCGGTCTCTGCGCTGATAGCGTGGAGCCTGCTTGGGATTCTCTCTCCTACCCCCCCGCCCCTCCCCCACTCCCTCTCAAAAATAGAAATAAAAACTTAAGAAAAGTATCTTATTCGATTCTTGATTACCTCCCCTATATAAGTGTGCGATGAAGTTTTTGAGAGGCACAAAAAGCCCATATTAATAACAGTTATCTCTTAGAAGCCTATGTATGCTAAATAAAATACGCTTATGGCACTTCTATCAGATTTGAGAAAACATCCTGGCGCAGATTTCCTGTCAGGATCTTCCTCTTTCTGTGCAAATACTTCCCAGGGTAACCGGGAAGGGTTCCAGAACCGATGGAACTGCTCTGCTCATGCCTGATGCGTGCAGAGGCTGAAGGTGGGGGGGTGTGCCCAGCTGGGGGAGAAGGCCCTGTCCCCCCCAGTTCCGGAGATCTGGTGGGAGGCTCCAGTGCAAGGGTGGTTGGGATACAGTTCACACCACGAGGAGGGGCTGTGCCAAGAGACCACGGAGACCACCGAGAACGGCTGCCTCTAGCCCGGGGGCCGCCGAGCAGCCAGGGGAGAGGGCGGGTGGGAGGTGCGGTGCGGTGATTGTTACCCCGCGCTGGGCCTGCAGGCAGCTCGGAGTCACCGCGTCCTGTTGCGGAAGAGGTCTGAGGGCTGGAAAAGGGTCTTGACCCTCACAGGCGGATGGGATGGAGGGATTGAGAGGAGCGGGACACGGGAGAGTGAAGTCAGGCTTTCAGTGAACACAGGCAGCGGGTGATCTGGTGCACACAGTTTGGGAACCAGCTTTCACGCACACATTAGTTCAACATAACTGCAAGTGATCGTTTCTGTAGGTTTTACCGCTGTTTCTTTTCTTTGTAATTAGAAAAAATGTGACGTTTGTATAGAAAGATATTTCCCTGAAAGTTTCTACAAATTCCATGAAGAAATCATAATTTTGGGTTTTAAAGTTAGCTTTCATTTTTGTATTTTTTAGTAAACCTTTCTTTTTTAAAAATGTTTATTTATTTTGAGAGAGAGAGAGAGAGAGAGAGAGAGACAGAAAGGGAGGGAGGGAGGGAGGGAGAGAGAGAATCCCAGGCAGGCTACACGCTCAGCACAGAGCCTGATGTGGGGCTTAATTTCACAACTGTGAGATCATCACCTGAGCTGAAATTAGGAGTCAGACTCTTAACTGACTTGAACCACCCAGCTACCCCAAACCTTTCTTCATTTTATTATTTTATGTGGGTTTTATTTCCTATCAGTGATTGGTATCTAATTATTTTAATGTTTTTTTAAGATTTTATTTTTTTAAGTCATCTCCACACCCAACGTGAGGCTCAAACTCACAACCTGAGATCAAGAGTCGCACGCTCCACCAAACGAGCCAGCCAGTCGCCCCCAAATATTTTAATGTTATGATGGAAGCAACTACTTTTGGTAAAATTCAGACAAATAAACAGCTGTCTCTCCCCACCCCGCTCACTGATACTCAGAACCGTCTTTCAGCCCAAACCCCTCGCCAGCTGTGGTCCCCGTTCCCCCCTTCTCTGTGAAGCTTACTGAAAGCCACAGCCTGCGTGAACGGTACTTCGGCCGTCGTTCTCCATCGTGTCACACAAACTGCCCTAGCTGAGCTCACCTGAGACCCCCACACACGGTCCGATCCAGACAACACTGCGGTCTCGTCTTCCTTCATCCGACAGAGTCCCTTGTCACTGTGGGTTATTTTCCTCTTGCTCTTTACTCCTTTGGATTTCATAATACCTTCTATTGGAATTTATCATTATTTTTTTTTAACATACAGGGCTGCTCTTGCCCCGTTTCCCTTGTCTGTCTCTCGTCCCCTGTCCCTGGTCTGAGGGTCTCTGTGCTTGTCTTCCGTGTGCAGCCTGCAGGCCCCCTCGGGGGAGGCCCTCAGTTACTCCCTGAGGTGACGGCTGTCAGGTTTGTCTCTTCAGGCTTGGCCAGGGTTCCAGATGTATGCATTTGATTCCTTGCTCCTCGGCCCTTTCCCATGTGTCCCCACAGGCCTCCGCTTGCACCTTCGACTCTTGCACCCACCCCCTGCATTGAAGGACACTGCCCCTGTGCTGTGAGCTTCTTTGCAAGTGTTGCCTCGAGTCTGGAGCACTCTCTGCCCAGCCGCTCGACTCTCCCTTTAGGCCACATCCTTCTGGGGCCCCTCTGCCCAGGCCTCACTGCCTCCCACAGGCCTCCTCTGGCACCCAGCCCTCCACCGCGCAGGGCTCCGCCCCCACTCTGAGCTGGTGCCCTGGCCAGGTATTTCTGTAGTGCCAGGTACTTAGGGCTCTTCAAAGAGCATGTGTCAGACTGCATTTAACTTATTTATTTGTTTTCCTCACTAAATTGTGAGCATCTTGTGGATAGCGAGTGCATCTTCATTTCTTTATCCTTGGGGTGCCTAGTATAATGGTACACACTTAAATGCTGGAAGGATGGAAGAGCTCTCTTGTTTAACTCACACACTGAAAGTTTTCTATTCATTTTTGAAGAAACTAAAGTTCTTCCAAGTATGAATTATGCTTCAGAGAGCACCACTGTGCATATTCAAAAGCTTGATTATTACACTATAGGTTTTTAAGTTTACCATTTTGCTTTAGTGCAGTAATGGTATCCCTGTGGCCTGATGCACCTACTTTGTCTCAAAGTGCCCAAATTACCCACAGCAAGTATTTTCTCACTAAAAAGGATCCGCTCCATTATCTCATTAATCTTAAAGACATCCCTGTGAAGTAGTTTAGGGAACAAATGGTGTTATCTTCTCCTCACAGCTGGTTCACACATATGGTGTGTCTTGACATTATATCGTTTCAGCATTATTTTCTCTTTATTTAAAAAAAATGAAATAAAGATTGTGTGGCTGTTTAATACTGTTTCTGTGTGTGACACTATTAAATATCTAGAAGTAAAAGATTTGACCTTGACAATAGTATTTTAGGCCTTACGTGTTTCATGATAGAATCCACCTTTTCATGGGTCTGTGTGACGTGGGGGTTAGAGATATTGGTGGGGGGTATTGGTAACCAACAAAAAGGTCATTATGAAGTATTGTTTATGAGGTTTTGATAGTATCACTGTAAGCAGAAATAAATAACTTTTTGGTAGCCTTAGAGTTGTACATAGGTGTTTTTGTCTTTTGGTAATGGAGGTCTCATTTGCCTAAAAGAAAATACATAGCTTTTAAGTGTACATCTCAGTGACTTGTGGCAAGTCTATAAATCTTTTGTAACTGCCTCTCCAGTCAGGATGCAGATCACCCTAGTAAGTTCTTTCCTGTCCCTTCCAATCACTCCCCCCTCCCCCCCCACTGCTACGAATTGTTCTGATTTCTATCAGCATGGGTTAGTTTTGCATATTCTAGAACTTCATATAAACTGAGTACATCTGATTTGGTGAACGGACTCTTTCACTCAGCATATTTGAAGGAATAGGATACTGCCGGCGTACGGTATCGTGGGCGAATATTCGCAGTACCACTGACAAAGAACCCAGATCCAGGCCCCACACAGAACTCCTGGAGATCCACTCTAAGGAGCAAACAACCCAATTTAAAAAGGGCCACCCAACCTGGACACTCTCTCAAGTCTCCCCTCTGCCCCATGCCCTCCGGCTCCCGTGGAGCCTCTCGTCCGGGCATGCCAGCAGGTGTGCTGTGGCTGTGGCCTGGCCACTCACCACTGGCTGCTCCTCAGGACCGCGTGTGTCTCAGGACAGAGCGGTGAGGAGCCGAGCCGGTGGGCCACGCCACCACCACCACCACCACCACCACCACCACCACTGATGGCCGCCACAGGATTCAGCCCATTTCCTGGGCTTCTTCCAGATGGTCATGGGCACCCCGACTCCCTTCCGGGCCTTGGGCAAGACAGAGCGGGTTTGGTCTGTTCTCCTTCGTGGTCGCTAGGGCTTGGGAAGCAGCAGAGGTGAAGGGTGTATAAAACCACAAGACAGGACTTGCTGCTGAGTGTTCCAGTTTCCTTCCACAGTCCCTGCTCGTGGTCACTGGGCCGGGTCGTCCTTTGATTGTTTTCTGTCCATTGTTGGTGTTGTTCTTGCTGTCCGGTTTTGCTGTCCTCGGTTTTTGATTGTAATCGGTAGGAGAGATGGGACGGGGTGTGTTTACCCCGTGTCACCGGAACCAAACTCCTCTGAATCAGTTTCGAAGCAACACATGTGTTTAAATTTGATGAAAATT